ACACCACAGCAAATTCCTTTCTTGAAGAATGCCTCAGAATGAGCCACCCAGAGCCTCAGTTCTAAACCAGAGATGCTGGGTTCCAAATGAAGGGTGACAGGAAGCTCAAATGAATATTGTCTGGAAGAACACCTTTGTGAGCCGTGAGGAGTTGTGAGAATTGTTTTCCTGTCGCCGTGGGGAAGGTTTGAAACATTGACGGGGAGACTTAGCCTCTGCAGAGACTGGTGGGGTAGGCGGGACCAGAGTGGCACACAAGACCCCACTCCTCGCGCACTGCCTGGGCAGATCTGGCTAATCAATCCCAGACTGGGGACGGCCTACCTGGGAAGGGTGGCTGCCAGGCAGCCCTAGCAGGTGTTGTGTTTTGCCAATGAGGAAGAGGGCTCAGAGAGGCAAAGCAGCTTGCCACAGCCACCCAGCCTCGAGAGGTGGAGGTGGGTTTTTTGTTTTTTTTTTTTAAGATTTTATTTATTTGAGAGAGAGAGTGAGCGTGCAGGTGCAAGCAAGCGAGCAGGGGGAGGGAGAGAGAATCTGAAGCAGGCTCCATGCCCTGCACAGGGCCTGATGCGGGGCTCGATCCCACGACTCTGAGATCATGACCTGAGCTAAAAACCAAGAGTCAGGGGCGCCTGGGTGGCTCAGTTGTTAAGCGTCTGCCTTCGGCTCAGGTCACGATCCCAGGGTCCTGGGATCGAGCCCCGCATGGGGCTCCCTGCTCCGCGGGAGGCCTTCTTCTCCCTCTCCCACTCCCCCTGCTTGTGTTCCCTCTCTCACTGTGTCTCTCTCTGTCAAATAAATAAATAAAATCTTAAAAAAAAAATAGAAAAAATAAAACCAAGAGTCAGATGCTCAACCAGCTGAGCCACCCGGGCGCCCCACAGAGGTGGACCTGGGATTTAAAGCCTCTTCTCCTGACCCTAGTGCATCGTGATCAGGGAAGCTTGCGGTTCAGGGGCTCCTTGCCCAGGTGGGGTTCTCCCCGTGGGACCGGCGCGGGGTGGCCAGGCTCGGCCTCCTTACGATGCCATCCCTCCCTCCTGGCCTGTTAACCTTTATCTGCTGCAACCTGCCTGTGCTTGGTCTAATTACGGCTGCTTACATTCTGGGCTTTTAACTGCAGCCAAGCGGCGCATGTGAATGTGGGACTTCCGGCTCCCGCCAGCGCACAGAGCCTGACCGAGGGGTACGAGGGCTGGGGAGGGGGTCAGCAGTCACCAGCACGAGGTGGGCTGAGGCTGCCCGAAGCCAAGGGCTGGGCTCAGGACCCTTGGACGCGCATGCTGGCGGCAGGCGGGGTGCTCCCCTCTTCGGCTCCAGGGCTGCCTCGGCATAGCGTCGTGCCTTGTTAGGTGGTGGTTCTGCTGGCTTCCAGGTTACTCTTTTAATTAAGCCAATTAATTAGTGCCTTTAATGAAGCAGATTAACCAGGCCGGGCTCTGCAAACGGGGCTGTCGCAGCCCATGGTTTCCTGCAGGTTGGGATTTGGAGGTGGCTGCCGGGCCCAGCCTCCGGTCCTAGGGGGCTTGGGTGCTGGGTCACGCTGCGCCAGGATGTCTGTGTCCCCCGTATGAGCAGGACCCCGGGGCTCCCTGGCTTGGCATGGCCACCTGCCCCAGGGCGGATGGGGAAAGAGACTTGGTGTTGGTTTCTTTACCAAGCGTTTCCTATGTGCTGGGCACGGTGCTGAACGCTCTACTGGGTGACACCACTGACTTTTGTCTCCATCGCAGATCAGGGAGGGAGGCCCAGCCTTGGGTGGCAGGAGGTGTCCCAGCCCGTGAGTGGCCTGGCCCCAGGCTTCTCCCACCAGGCAGGAAAGAGGATCCAGAAGGAGGGACTCAGAGAGGACCTGCAGGAAAAGGCCAAGGAGGCCCCCAGCTCCCTGGAGCCGTCTTTGTGAGACAGGGACCCACCGGTGTCCTGGAGAGGGCGAGGCCTGCCTTAAACACACTTCTGCCCTTAGTGCGCCTCGCAAAGGGCGTAGGAGTGAGGAGGGCCTCCCCAGGGCCAGAGGACAGATGGCAGCCTGCTCCAGGATGGCTGGGCCTCGCAGGGAGAGTTGGCTCAGCCATGACATTAGAGAGGGAGGACTGCCTGACAGCGGGGAATATTAACAAGTTTCCAAAGGCAGGCAGGAGCCGCCTCCCCAGGAGACTGAGTGCGCCAGGCAGTGGGCCTGATCCGAGTGCTTTAGAAACACCGCTCTATGAATTCAAGGTGGTTTTGCCAGCAGATCTCAACCCGGGCGGGGGCTGGCTCTCCTTAGGATGCCCTCGGGGCCCTCACCCCTTTCATCCCATTTTAGCCCAGAGGGGGGCCTGCTGGTCTACACACCAGGGCAGGCCGGGGCACCTTCCTGCGCCTCGGTCTCCTCATCTTCTAAATGGGTGAGTGCTTCCTGGAGAGAGAGAGACATTCCCTCGTCTCTCACTTCCCAGAGAAGACAGAAATTCCCCTCCATCCGGCTGTCTGACCTACAGACTTTCTTGCTCGGGGCCTCCGTCCCCACCTGGCCAGCCCCCTCCTGCCTCGATGAAGCCTCCCTTTGTCACTCAGCCTGTCTTCTTGAGGTGCCTCAGGTGGTACTTTCCCATCCGCTTTTAAGGACATTCTAGTGTTTCTTATAAAAACCAACCCCACCCTGGATCTCCCTTTCCCCTGCAGCTACTACATTCTGGCTTCTACTCCTCCCCTTCACAGTTGAATTTCTCCCACCTGTCATTTCCCAACCCACTGCAGTCGGGCTCCCACCCACCCACCTTATCCTTCCTTTTTTGTGCTTGACATTGCCTCCTCCAGGAAGCCTTCTCTACTTCCTCAGACCCTCATCACAGCCAACCAGTGTGTCCTGAGAGCAGTCCTGGACCTCAGTGGGTCTCTGAACCCACCGTGCCCAGCACAGGGCCCGGCACGAAGCCCAGCCTGGGCGAGGCGCTCCTCTGGGGCCAGAGCGGGATTGAGAAGCAGCCAGTAAGCTTTGCCTCTGTTTTACCTTGAGAGGGACACTGTAGGGTGGGCGGAAGACAGGAATGGGAACAGCAAACACCATCAACTCAGAGACACTTCTTTAAATACCAGCTGGAAGCAGACCAGTTTCGGGGTGGGTGGAGCTGCCCTTCATTAGCAGGAACCACAGGAGATAGGCACTTCCCAGAGGCCAGGGGCGGGGAGGCGCAGGGAGCTGGGGGTGGGAGCAGGAAACTCAGGGTGTGGCGGTCCCCATCCTACTGGGCTCCCCTCCCACAGGGGCCAGGGCGGAGCTGGGGAGCGCCTCACCTGTGTCCTTCCCCAGCACAGAGCCCTATGTGACGTTCTCTATAGTACTGTCCCCACCAGGCAGTGAGCTCCGTGGAGGCAGGGACCTCATCTCCCTTCTGTCCCCCAGGGCCTGGCACATTAGGCAAGCAATAAATATCCATGGAGGGAGGCCGATGGGCCAAGGGGTGTATTCCCCACTCCTCTGTACTGCCTTGGTTTCCCCTCTGTACAGAGGGCACTGTGAGGCTCAGCCTCCTTCTGGATACGGTTCTTAGGGCCAGGTCTGGCTTGTGACTGTGGGTGTGCTCTTGTCCCTCTGAGCTGCTGGGGCAGGCAGTGACAGAGGCCGCACTAGCTCCTGCTGCCAGCCACGTGGAAAGGGAGCTCACATGAGTGACAGTCCCCCAAGATACCTTGTCAGTGCTCTGGGCCTCAGGCCTCTCATCCACAAAACGGGAGCAGTTTGTCCTTGCCGGCAGGAGGGTGTATTAAGGCAGGAAGAAGAGGAAAGGGGGCTCAGGAGGTTACTCTGACACCCCCCCCCCCATATGGAGCCGAGGCAGTTGGGACCAGAGCCAACTTTGCTCTCAGTCTTCAGGGCCATCCAGGCCTGGATGCCTTCCCGGAGGAGCTGTGTGGCAGGGCACAGCCACTCCCACCCTCCCAGCCCTCCCCCACCCAGCTTCCTGCCCCCCTACCCCTCCCAGGCTCCGCTCCAGTGCCAGAAGGAACAGTCCCCCCCTTCTGGTGGAAATTCACACCCACAGCCTAGCCAAGCTGTCTGCAGGGAGGAAGGGGCGAGGAAGGGGGAGCAGCTGCGGGAACAGGAGGCTCCACCAGAGAGTGGACAGACAGAGACGGGGCCCATCTGTAAGTGACAGCCGACAGACAGCCGGGGTAGGCGGGGAGCAGGTAGGCCACCAGCCCCAAGGCAGCCTAGCCGGCCCTCAAGGCCTGGGCAGCAGGGGGTCATGAGCGCCGGGTCAGGGTGGCAGCGGGCCGGGCTGCTTGTGGGACAAGTGAGGAGCCAACAGGTTGGGAGAGTAAGGGACTCTGCCCACCAGCAGTGCTCCCCAGGGGATAGCTGAGAACCCAGTGGGGGGGCTGGCTAGGCCAGTCCTGGGGTCTCCACGATGTGGGCAGGGGTGAGATGAACCCCCAGCTGAGCTCTGAGACACTGGCGAGGGGCCTGTCCCACTCCCCTGGGAAGAACCCTAGCCTGTCTTCGAAATCACATCTGTACTCCCCAAGGCTCCAGGCCCGGGGCTGGTCTACACCCCAGGCTCATTGCCGCAAAGACAGCCCCCTCCCTTCTTCCCTGGCATCCCTGCCCAGCCCGAGGCCTGTTCTGGCCTTCCTTCTGGCTTCTGCTCCCCTAAGAAGCCTCTCCTCACAGGCCAGTCTGCTCTGCACCTGCTATCAATACACACAGCTTTCGGGAGGCTCACCCGGCTCCTTAGCCCCTGGTGGCCCTGGTGGCCCTGGTGGCTGGATTTAGGGGAGGGGACAGCCCACGGCTGGTTCTTCCCAGTCTCCCCCACCTGTGCACCAAGAACAGGTGGCGTTCCTGTGTTCAAACCAGAGAGATGGCAGGATTCCTCATGTGCCCTGTTCACGTAAGCAGTGTCACCTGCCGAATGTCGTGGGCAGTGACCCCTCAGTGCCAGCTTCGAGGACAGAGGGGAGCCCTCAGGATGCTCCCGGATAGTGAGGAACCCTGGCAGATGAAGAGAGGGACAGACGGGCTGACATCTTCTGGCTGTCTGGCTGGACCTTAAGCTCGGCACCTTGACTCCGGGGCCATCCTCTCTGCCTGCTGGAAGGGGGTCTTCAAACCGGAAGGGAATGCTCACATGTGTCCATGGCCGCCATAAGGGTGTGCTGTGGGAGGGACAGTCCCGCCACAGCACCTGTCACCCCTCCTGCCACAGGGAGGGCCAGGTCAGGAGCGGCGGCTGTGTGCAGGGCCCCCCTCGACATGTCTGCAGACCCAGGGAGACCTTCCCAGAAAGTGGGGCCTGACAAGGACTGAATGCTGGAGCCTTGTGGAAGGAGAAGGAAGAGGAAGGGGACAGGCATTTACGGAGCATTAGGTTCACGAGCCCACTGAATTTGCACGGCCCTTGAGGAGACAGCTGCACCCCCACTTTACAGATGGGGAAATGGAGGCATGGATTGGAACTCAGGTGGGTTCAATCCCAAAGCCAGTTATCCCTGCACTGTGTCACCCCTGGGCTTTGGCTGCCGAGACAGCGCTGCCGGATGCATCCCCGTTTCTAGTCCGGAAGGGCAGCCCAGCCCCACCCTCGGCTCAGCCCTTCTGGGACTGCCAGCCCCTCTCGGATCTGTGAGCCACAGCATGATCTGCTAATATCTGGCTGCGTTATGTACAATTGCAAACCCATTATAGTCCTATTTTCCTAATCTATGACACCTTATCACAGTCCCCAGTGGCACTGTGTTTCTGAGCGTTGTCCACCCACGGAATTATTAATCCTCTCATTCGGTGGCTGGTAGAGGGGGTGGAGCATCAGAGCAGGGTGACCTGCCCCTCCTGCCCTGAGGGGGCCCTGGGACCAGGCAGCTGGAGAACCCTGCCAGCCTGACTGTGTGCTCCTCCCTGCTCATCTCAGCTCCCTGAAGGGATACTTAGAACAGGCAGCCCTGGGCAGGGCTCGGCCTGGACAGTCACCTTTGGGAGGAGAGGGCCTGGGTGGGGGGTGCGGGGTAGGATCTAGCAGCTGCTCCCCTGTATGCCAGGCCTGGCTGGGGGGAGCACCTGCAGCCGCACACCTGGATAGGGGAGTCCCAGGGCAGGCCTCTCTCCGGGCAGCTGCCTTGTGCCTTCTGGAAGGGGCAAGCAGATGCCCCAGGACCAGAGATGCTATGAGGACACTGGGGAGGGGGCAGCAGCGGAACCAGCAGCTGCTGAGGGCAGCGGGCACGGCCCCGTAATTGGGCAGCCTGTTCCCAGATAAGGCCGATGACACTGACCAGCTTCCCGCTCCACAAGGGCTGCGGCCGCTCATTTCCTGCTCCCTCGGCCGGCGATGCCAATTACCTCGCCTCCTGCCCGCCGGCGGCGGCTTCTGGGGCGGCCAGACAATTCCCCTGTCATCGATGGGGACTGGGTCCTCTCCGGAGGGTGGGAGGGTGTGGACAGGGCAGCAGCAGGGTGAGCAGGACCAGCGACGCCCCCCTCCCCCCACCTCACACTGGGCATGGCCGGAGGTGGGGGGGTGTGACCCAGGGACCCAGGCCACCCTGGGAAGGCCCCATGTTCTTTCCTGTCCCCAACCCCAGAGCAGGTTCCTGCCGCTGGGCCGAGGAGCTGGCGAGCGGGTGTGTGAACAGAACAGACAAGCGGAGCTCGGCCCACCCCTGCTTTTCCAGTTTTCTCAGCCTTGCCCTCCCCACCCCCCCCACGCCGTGTGACACCCTGGGCAAGTCACCGAGCCCTTGGGGACCCCCTGCCTCCTCTGTAAAGCGGGGTGATGGGGCAGTACCCTCACAGCATAGGTGTGAGGACTGGCTGGGACCTCAGAGTGAGCGGTCCACCCCGCCGAGAGGACACGCTCCTCCTTTTGTGCCAACACTCCAATTCTGCTCGCTGGATGAGGACAGGCAGCCATGTGGCATTAGGGAAACTGAGGCTCACACAGGGGTTTGGCTCGTGCGGGAAGGATGAAACGACTCCTGGCTCTTCTTCACTGCAACCCCAGAGGACAGACTTGGGGGGAGGGGCCAGCTGTCTGCAGGGCAAATGCCGGCTCCAGACTCCCATCACCCCGAGGGGGCGGTGTTGGGGGGGGAAGCGCGTCAGAGATAGCGGGAAGAGGGAGCAGGAAGGTGGGTTCACCTGCTCTGAGGGGGCACTCTCAGGCCCTGGCACGGCCGGACCATGAGCACTCGGGCGATGTCTGTGCCTGGATAAGGGGCCTGCGGGGCCAGCCCGGTGGTGGTGCAGGCAGGGAAACGGAGGCCTAGGCCCAGAAAAGGGTAGATCATCCAGCCACTCCAGGCCGAATCAAATCCCCCACCTTTCTCTCCAAGTCCGGGTCCACTGCCTCCCCAAGAGGCCTCCGAGGCTCATTTTGAGGTGGAGCCTTTTGACCTCGAGGCGCTGATTGGTTGCAACTCTCACCCTGACCCAATAGGAGAGGAACCTCGACGGCCCTAGGGGCGGGGTTCGAGAACCCGGCGCCCAGTCCAGAACTTGGGCTGGGGGGTGCGGGCGGGCGGAGTGCCCGAGTACCCCGCGGGCAGGGAAGGGCGACGCAGGGACGGCTAAGGGCCCTCTCCCACACGGCGCGGGGTAGGGGAGGTGGACGAACAACTCCCTAAGGGGCAACTAACAGACCAATTAAGCTGCCAATAAAAAATTTAATCAAGTAATAATGCACCTTACTTTGTTTAATTAGTGTTCTGTCAAGTGAATGAATATTTAAGGCGCGGGTGGCGGTGCCAGCATCCGCCCAGCGGGCAGAGAGGCCGAGCCCACATTTCAATCGGCCTGACAGCTCCCCACGCGGGCATTGATCGCCGCCACCGCGGTCCAGGAATCCCGAGAGCGCAGGGCGCAGCCGGGAGCGCTCCTTCGTGAACAAGCGGACCGCGGCTGGTCCTGCCCCTGTCAGGGACTCAGTTGCTTCATCTGTAAAATGGGAGCAGGAGACCTGGCCAGCTCTGTCAGTCCTAAAAAAACTAAAGGTTGATTTTGTTTCTGGAACCCCAGAGTCCCTGGCGGGTGCGGAAGACATTTGGGGCCTGAGAGCCCAGTCTGTGCTCTCCGCGTCCCCCAAGTCTACGGCCCTAGGACGCCCAGCGTCTGTCAGCTCTGTGGCTCCAGGGTCAGCTGTGTGTGCCTGTGAGGCCGGCGATACCCTCCGTGGGAGCCCCTCCAGCGCCCCAGCCTGAGGACAGAGAGTGGGTCCTCCTCTGGCCCCGGGGCAGGGTCTGTCTGGGCTATACTTGAGTTCACTGGCCCTTTCATTCATTCAGCAACTGGGGAGCTTGTGCTCCGTGCCAGTGTTTCTTTCCCTGGAAAATGCGGGACTAGGCCCAGTCTTGGAACCCTGCAGGCCCCAGGTCGCCCTCGTTTCCCTTGGCTTCTCCGCCAGCGTGTGGCTGTGGGCAGTGGGTGGCCAGAGCCCCCGGGCCCGGGCTTGTCAGCCCCGCCCCGCGGGGCTTGTTTGCATATTCATGACCTAGGCGGGCATGCGCACGGCGGCGGCCGGCCGGGCGGCGTCTCCCTCCCCGACCCTGCCATCCTCACTCTCGGCCTCTTCCTCCCTTTTCTTCATGGAAAGGGCCAGGCGCCACCCCCAACCCCGCACCCCGACCACCTGAGAGCCTCGCACTGTAAGGACTTTGGTAATTATTTGTTTCAGTTGAGCTGTTTTCAGTCTAGGCTAGGCTGAGTCTTGTAATGAGTATGGATTTGCCAGTAAATAAGTCTCCCGCTTCTAACCCCTGTAATAAATGCATTTGGAGTAATCTGGCGATCACGCGGTGTAATTGCTGGCTGTCAGGGCAGATGGATGCGCCGCGCTGACTTTGCCGCCGTCTGCCCTTCCTTCACGCTGTGCCTCCGTCCCCGCCCCCAGCTGGAGGTGAGGGCCCTTCTGCCAGGGGAGAATGGGCCTGGCCTGCCCAGACCCCAGGCCAAACTTCGGGTCCCTCCTAAGCCGGACAGCGTGGGCTGGCCCAGTGACCTGCCTCTGACCCCAGTGTCCGTCCGCACTAAACGCCAGGGCCTTGTTCAAAATGCAGGGTCCTGGGTGCCACCGCCACAGACTCGCTGGATTAGATTATCTGCACTGGAAAACGCCTCCTTCTGGCCCCAAGTTAGGCAGTCATCCTAGGACAGCCCTCTGTGGAATATCAGGTTCCAACTTTAGTTTTCAAAGGAGAAAAATTAGACACTTGTACTTGTGGCCCTCCCCAATCCCGGACCACTTCCACTTGCTTCTGTGGGCTACTTTTCCTTGTTCATGCCTCTGAGACTTTGTCCAGGCCTCTGCCGGGCATGCCGTGGCCCCTTCTCTGCCTGGGGAATGTCCACTCAGCCTTGCTCAAATGCCCCCACCTCTGTGAACTTCCCTACACTGGGAGTCCCTCCTCTTTGCTTCTCTGGCTGGACCGCCAGTTGTCTTTTTACACAGGGGCTGGTCCTGCCACTCGGGGGGGGGGGGAGGTGCTGCACCTCCCCTTCACTTCTCTGAGCAGCCCCCTGCGCCTAGCCCAGTGCCTGGCACACAGCAGGTGCTCAAGAAACATGAGGGGCATGAATCAGTGTGCAAGCAATGAGCCCTGACTGCCTCTCCCTACCCACCCCTAAGGGAGTCCCAAGTTTGTGGGGCTGACCAGGGCTGGGCAGAGGTCTTCCCCAAATCCCGGAGTCTTATATCTGCCAAGTCAGATGGGGCATTCTGGATGTGGGGGGGGCACCACATATGGGGCTGAAAGAAGCGTCAGAGATTTCAGCCAGTTCAGCCCAGCCTAGTCCTGTCCTCTGGCACCCAGAGTGGGGTGAGTGTGAGGTTCCTGAAACAACTCAGCGTTTACTGAATACCCACCCTGTTGCAGGCACTGTTCTAGGCTCTGGGGGTGTAGCTGCACCGACAGATGCTGACAGTTGACAAGACTGTCAAATCCCCGCTGGGCAGGGAAGGAGCCCTGCTCTGTGTCATCCAGAGCCAAGCTTCTCAGGGAAGCCATCGTGCTAAAGGCTCTCAAGCCACTTGCCCTCCTTCTGGGGCGCGACCCAGCCTGAGGCCCAGATTGCCACCCCAGAACCGGGCCACAGAGGGCTGGTGTGTCTGGAGGTCCCACGCAGCAGGGGCTGGTGGGGAAGGCAGGAGGGGCCCTCCACCCTGATACCAACTCCGAAGCTAGCCCTTTCGGCCGGACACCTGGGCCCCTGAGCCACTCCTGTGCTCTGGCCTGGCCTGGGGCTGGGGCCCCACAGCTGCACAGGATGGATTCCTGCCCCGCCTCGCCTCGAAGCTGTGAGGGATTAAACGAGATAACTGGAGGGAAAGCCGCATGGCCTGGGGACAGTAGGGTGTGAGGGTTTAATGGCTCTGGTGGAGTCTTCAGAGGAATGAAGCCTTCCAGCAGACGGGGTAGCGGAGAGGCCACGGCAGGGCGGTCAAGGGCACGGACGCAGGAGCCAGTGAACTCC